AGTGTCTCTAACCATGCGGCTTCGGAGTCTTTTGAACACCAACCCGGAGGACGAGAGACACCTACTCTATCTTATCGCTATGTGCATTTCTTTATGCCTTATCTCCACGTCATCAACTGGCCTCCACGTGGCTTTCTCCAGCCTGTAACAGGCACTACAAACAAGTCGCGCTGCGGTGGGCGATCGTGGGGAAGCTACATCCCATGTCTGAACAAACTATGGAATCGGTTGGGTGCATGCGTAAGCAGCACCCGAATTTCTTGATTGTAGAGTTTCCGTAATAAACTCGTGGGGTTCATATGGTCAATTAATTTGAAAACGTTAAGGTACACTACGCCTCCAGTTTGCAAATGTTTACTACCTTTGCCTATTCTTCTTAACCCAGCAGAAAATTAATGGTACACGATCCTTTTGCGGAAACCCTTGTTGAGGTTGTATTTTTCAGAATGAACAATCGCAAAATTTTCAATAATGTTTACCATGAATTGATATCGGAAGAATTACTGCGAGAAAGTCATCAGGGTTACTAAGAAATCCAAAATATGCAGGAGAATTTATTCCTGTTGCCGTTCATGTGAAAACACAGTACTATTGAACATACTAAATAGCTCGATTATTTGCTCGGCTGTGACTTGTGACATGTTTATTTCCTTGACCGGGATGCGTGCAAATTTTCGGGGTTTGAACTTAGGGAAAACTGGTTTAAGAGGTGGGTGGTTTTCTTTTAATGTTGTACGATTGCACATGTCCTTTTCTGGGTGAGTTTAGATTCTTCTTCTGACAGTGACTTTTCACAAGCTAGATCGCTCAGGCAATGAATCACCATTTCTTTCTTAACTTCGCTGATCTGTATTTCATTATTCTGACAGTTCCACAGGGCTTGTTATATTTTTGCAATGAAATCGTTAGCAGGCTCTTCAGCGTTTTGGTGCAGTTTGGAAAAACTCTATCTGGATATGCATAAGCTGGGTCAAGAACCCCAAAGTTCACCGAATGTTTTGAATACTTTATCCGATATTTTATCATCACCAATATATAGTGTGTCGAAATTACGCTGACCTTCATCATCAAGGATTGGCGAAAGACATATTTTTGTAAGAAGCAAAGTTAGCAACTTAAGCTAGTAAATAAATGTCCTTTTCACCGATTCCATGTTGAACGTGATGGTTCTCTATGTCCAGAAACACAATGGGGAAGGTACACGCAACAAAACTGGGGTTCTAGTCCCGTCACCAATATTCCTGACACCGAATTCCCATCGTGACGCTAATGTACAGAATTTTTAAGGACCATTAATTCAACGAAATAAATCAGAACAGACAAGGCAACGCGGTGAGGAGAATCCGGTTAACGAATGATCGTGAGATTACATCAATTATTAAACGATGGCCTAAAATTAGGTCAAGCTGGCTGAAGGACAAAACGGTTTGGAAGAATATTGATCAGTGTCTGCATTTAACAACTGTATCACATAATTGTACGATCAGTAGCGACGGAGAGACGAATGAGTAGGTAGCGTTCCCGTTCTCTGATGTTCAAATATACGATGAGTTCTACAAAACCCATGGGTCAAATAAATGATGTGTGCACATTTTGATCTATATAGAATTTTCCCGGTTTATGGATTTATATACCTATACATTAGTAATGGTTACTTGAAATCCATGGTCTATTTTGCTTTAGTCATCAGTTCCGTTACGCTTAGCACCACGTACCGTAGCTGATGCCAATACAAGTTGGCTGATGAATACGTGGAAAAGTGGCGGGTTTATTTCTGGCTCCTAATAGCATCACGAGCAGCAAAATTTGTTAGCACCAAAGTTGAAACAACTTACGATGAATCAAACGTCACACGTGAGAACTCTAGCATTGTATATGCCTTATAGTTATTCTTCAGTTAGAGAGCTTATTTGTCTCGGATTAACCAGCGTGAAATTGAGAACTCAGGTTTCAAGTGAAATTTATAATCAGTCGAGAAATATGATAGCGCTAAATGAGAGCTGTAAAATGTACTAGGGTGTAATTGAATAAATCAGAATATACATGCATGGTGCTGACGTAAAACCCAGTCTCTCAGTGCAGTCACAGCACATCTGTCAATGAAGCACAATAGGTAAAGTGGGAATTTCGAAAATAGAGAAGATGAAAAAACCTAGGTGACGTTTTCCGTTTTGTGACCCACTAAGTTGTCATTTGTCTTTCTCAATGTAGATATGGGCAAAAAATGCCTTCAAAACAGTCTATGAATTCACAAAGAAGTGCAAAACAGATACCCAGGGAAACGAGTGGGTTTTGTCAACAATTGCACGATTTGGATAAATTGGTTTTATTTTCAGTTAGAGAATTTGGGAAGACTTGTCCAAGCGTTCAGTACGTTGGTACCGTTTAATTAACTTTACACTACCCCATGTAATTTCTTATCATTCGTGAGATACTTAAAGTCACTTTCAGGGTTAGAATATCCAACCAACCAGGAATATATGAGAAAACGTTTTACAAAATTTGTATTCCTGATTAATAAAGGATTGAGGAATAATTCAACAAGAACGCTTTTTGGCTAATGGCTAGTCCGAGAAATCCCTCAAACATTGTGGACAAACCTCATAAGGAAGCGGATTTCTGAATTAAGGCGGATCGGAAGCAACTCAAGTAATTTTTCCTGCTGATGTTAAATTCTTTGTTATTCGCCACTATTTATAATGTAATCAGACGTAGATGTCAGCTCAGTCACACAATATGATACTCAAAGCTGCTGTGAAATTTTACTCCCACGCTGATGGTCATATTGCTTTTCATGTTCCATATGTTGTCCAACAAATCACACGAACACATTTGAAACAAATGAAAAGATAAGTAGCTAAAAGCTTGAAAGGGCACATCCAACAAAAGCTTCTGTATTCACTGACCCAATCAGATTGCAAGAAACAAAATTTGGGCATCAAATACCATGAAAAATCTAATTGAAACAGACCACCAAGTTAGCATGGCTCTGCCGTGTGAGATGCGACTGTGCGACCGGTGTGAGAAGCTTCGAGTGGAGCCAGAACTCGGTGGTGAGCCACATTCTAGCACACACTTCACGAGTAAGTCCAGCAATGCGCTACTACTAATCAATAACATTTAGTCACCAGTTTTCGATTCAACAATAGAATGAATAGCAGCCATCATGACGAGACTGTGCCTTGATGTGGCGTGATGGCTTGAGTGCCTCCATGACTCCTCACAGCCGCAGATTCAATCATATCAATGTGTAAAGGCCAGACGAAGCTCAGACTCACAATATTAGCTGCTTGGGCACCTCTTGGCTTCCCTTGATTATCCACTCCATCAAAAGTCACAGGCAGGAGAAGTTTACCGGTCAAAAGAACCTCGCTAGATGTATGTAGGAGTGGGGTACTTAGGGCTTCCTTCTGACGGTGGGAGAGGTTTTCGCATTTCACTGGACAGCTACCGCATGCCCNCGTTCCTCTTGACTCATCCCGAAATCTTTTGAGATGCATCCTGTTTGTGCCACTCATGGGATATCACTCAATGTTCAACTACTGAAGTCAACCACTCAGAAACTATCAGATTTCTGAAACCAAAATCTCGTTTTTACTTAGCCGCATTCACTATCCGAAAGCTATCAGATCGGTCAAAAAGCTGTCTTAGCTATAACCCTTGAAACTTTAAATTTAGATGTATGCTGTGTCTCCGAAAC